ACAAAAAAGGTAGTTATATAACTAATTGATTTATATTAAAATGTTGAATTTATATTAAACAACTAATATTACATAATTAACTAATGTGAGGATGGATATAAAAATATATGACAATGGGAAGGGGTATAATATAGAATAGAAGGGAAAAATTGAATTTCATTAAGATTAGAGATAAGGATGAAGGGTAATATTGGTTTTTTACAAAAATAGATGAGGAATAAATATGGCAAAAAGGAAATATAGAAATTGTAAATTTAATTGAAATGACTAAACACTGTTTAAATTTGTGAACCGGCCAAATACTCTGTTCAAAGAAAATACATTGTATGTTTGTATGTGTGTTTCTAATTATTGTTATTTATTCCTATTTGTTCTCTTTTATTCTTTAAAGTTTAACAATTCATTCTTTTATCTTAATATCTTTATATTTGTTTGGGGTTGGCTTTCTTCCTTCATCTTTTTTATTGTATAGCAATCTTTCTCCTCAAACCTACCACCTTTCTTTTCTTTCCTTCTTACTTTCTCTTCCTCCCCCTCTTCTTCTCCTCCCTACTTCCTCTTCCTTTCTCCTTCTCCTTCTCTCTTCCTCCCTCTCTCTCCTACTCTAATTTCCCTTCCCTTCCTTCATCCCTCTCTATTGCTGTATCCTTTTATGCATATGGACTACTCAGAGGGCTGAAAAAGTTATTTCTGACTGGTCCTCGCACTTTTGACCAGTCCTCAAACTTACAACTGTCCTCACATTTTACGTTTTTGCCCTATCTTGTCACCATGGTGAAGAGTGAAATGAGCAGTTGTGAAATGAGTGACATGGTTGTTAAGAATGCTACAATGGGCATAAATGATGACCAGTCATAAGTGCGAAGACCGGTCAAAAGTGCGAGGACCTGTCAGAAATCACTTTTTTCAGCCCTCTGGGTAGTCCTTTTGTGCATATGGACTACTCAGAGGGCTGAAAAAGTTATTTTTGACCGTTATTCGCACTTTTGACCAGTCCTCGGACTTACGACTGTCCTCACATTTTACGTTTTTGCCCTATCTTGTCACCATGGTGAAGAGAAGCAGTTGTGAAATGAGTGACATGGTTGTTAAGAAAGCTGCATGGGCATAAATGTGAGGATGGTCATAAGTGTGAGGACCGGTCAAAAGTGCGAGGCCCAGTCAGAAATGACTTTTTTCAGCCCTCTGAGTAGTCCCTATGCACATAGCCACGCCCACCCGGTCACATGACCAGCTAGCCATGCCTACACAGTCATGTGACCAGCTAGCCACGCCCACCCAGTCACATGATTGCCAAGCCACACACCCCCAACTAAGCCATGCCCACAGAACCTGTTGTTAGAAAAATTGCATCCCACCACTGAAAACATGTCTCTCATTAGTTTACTCCTTGGAAACTAGACCTGGCTGCAGCCCTGCAAATAGCAGCCCTTGCATAACTGCTTGTAATTGACATAGGGATTAATTGTTTCCTCAGAGCTAACTGTGAAGGGATCCTACCCTTATGTCCCAGAGAAACCAGGCAGGAAACGGGACTACTTCCTTGTAGGCTACAATAACAGAATCTTGCGAGTCTGAAGGTACAAACTTCCTGCTGTGACTTTAACTGCCCTAACCATTAGGCTGGGTCCTTCCTATGTTTCTTCCTCTAACCCTTAAGCCAGTGGGGGGCTCCTCTCTCCCGTGATTGTCTTCTAAACAGCATTTCTTCCCCTCGTCCCTCAAGGTCATTCTCATACAGCAGCACCCCTTAAGGGCAGCAAACTGCAGAGTAACTTTATTGCCGGCTCTCTCACGTTGGAATCGTGTTCCAGGGAGAGCAAATAATGGTCACGGGTGAAGGATTCCTGCTTGTTACATGTACAGAACAATGTTTGAAAGTCTCAGCTGAAGTTGAAGTGCTGTCTAACAATCCTTCAATTGGAATGAGATAATGTAGAGTGACATTTTGTCTTCCTGTCTCTATCATCATTCTTGAATCACCGCCAAAGCTGTTGGTGTCAGTGGTGGGTTTCAAATTTTTTTACTACCAGTTCTATGGGTGTGGCTTGGTGGGTATGGCATGGCTTGATAGGTGTGGTTTGGTGGGCATGGCAGGGGAAGGATACTGTAAAATCTCCATTCCCACCCCGATCCAGGGAAAGGTTACTGCAAAATCCCCATTTCCTCCCGATCAGCTGGGACTTGGGAGGCAGAGAATAGACGGGGGCGGGGCCAGTCAGAATTTTTACAACCGGTTCTCCAAACTACTCAAAATTTCCGCTACCGGAAAGGGAGGAAGGGAGGGAAGGGAAAGCAGAGTAGGAGAGAAGGTAAGACAAGGGGGAAGAGAGGATGAGAAGGAGAAGGGAAGGGGAAGTAGAGAAGAGAAGAAGAGGATGGAGAAAGAAAGTAGGAAGGGATAGGGAAGAGGGAGAGGGTAGGTTTTGGGAGAAAGATTGCTGTTCAATAAAATTTTCCGCTAACGGTTCTCCAGAACTGGTCAGAACCTGCTGAAACCCACCTCTGGTTGGTGTCATCCTTTGTCTTGGCTGGACACCCTTATTAACAAAGTTGGGAAAAATATCTACTAATTTTTGAGATATTAGATTTTTTAATTGTTTAATGGGTTTTAGTCGTAAGGTTCTTAATTTTCGGCCAAAGGGTATAATTCCTTTAAATTTTTAAATTTTGTATTGGATGTTTTTTACTTGGCTGTGCACCACCCTGAGTCCACCAGGAGAAGGGTGGTATACAAATTTAAATAAAATAAATAAATAAATAAATAAATTGTAGTACTGCTACAGCCACAGGATGGGCCTGCCCTTTCTGCTAATCCAGTTGACCAAGTCAGTGGTGGCCCTTTCTCCAGCCTTAGAGGGAACACAAATCCTCCTTTGAGTGAAGCTCAAATCCTAGTGACTACATATTCGATTGGCAACTAGATATGGCGAATGCTTTTGTTGACATCAAATGTCTATGTCTTCAGTGATAAAAGAGCAGAGTGCGGCTTCCTCAGGGATCTATTCTGGAGGGCAGGGGTTATGACCACTTTGCTTCCTTAGACTCAGAAGATGTTTAATTCACGGGATACCACACTACCCAAATGTACTTCACGGGCAGGAAAAAAATGGATAGGTGGTCCCTGGATAACCAGGCCCTCTGCCATGAATGGCTTTATCAATAATCAACACCTTGAATTGCTGTCGGAAGGCAGCTGGCAATCAATGCAATTAGCACAGCAGCGGTGACACATGAGAAGAACGAGAAGGGCCCATAACTGCTGATGTTGTATTTTGAAGCGGCTCTAGCTGTAGATTCCAGATGGTCTTCAAGAGCAGCTCATGTGCAGTGCTTTGCAAAAGTCCAGGGCAATAGGGACTCTCTGAAGGGCTTGAAGACAAGATGCAACTGACTTACAAAATGAGCAAAAACCGTCCTAGCTAGTACTGCCACTTTCTTGTCGAGCAGGAGCTGAGAGTCCAGGAGGACCCCCAAGTTGCAGGCCAATATTGACTGAGAAGTGCAATTCCATCCAAGACGACCAAGATGAAAACATCTCTGAGCCAAGGGCAGAACTGCACTGAAGGTTGTTCCTCCCCATCCACACCCAAATAGCCTCCAGACACTGGGTTGGTACCCTGGCGTCATCTTGCAGCCCAGGATTTAACATTCTGATGATACCAAATCCCAAGCTGACAGATGACCTCACTGAGGAAGGGGACAAAACACTGCAGCACAGTGCCTACCACCCCGAGTCTCTGTAGCTGGTCAATGGCGTTGAAGACCACTGAGTGGGCAATGCATCAAAAACCACTGAGGGCAGACAGATGCACCACTGCTTTCCTAGCTTCATCAAAGGTCATTGACAAGTGTGACCAATATTGCCTGGGTACTATCCCCTAGTCTGAAATCAGTCAAAATAACCTGCCTCCTCCAAGATCTTCGGAAGCTGCTGATTACTTTCTTCAGAAAGAGAAGATTGGACACCGGACAATATTGCCCAACATGTTGCTTGTCTCTTCAGCACACAGCAGGAACACTGGATAATGTGTATTATTATTAACATACTAAACTGGAGACCTGGCAGTGGGTAGGTTCAGTGGCTCTTTGGGCACTGCATGACCTCCATATGAGCAGGGCCCCAGGAATGCCCTCGTCTCATCCCTTGAGAAGCTTGGTGCCCTTCCCGCCCCAAGCAAAGGTGCCTTCAGGTGCCCTTCACATGGAACCCCCGAACGATCAGCTCAGCTTTGCTGTCACTTTGCGGAAATGCTCCTGAACGGCCCCTCAGGTGAGCCCCTGGGATCAGCAGATCAGGCAGGTTGTCTGAGTAGCAAATGTCCCTTCCAGGCGAGACCAGCCTTGGCTTTGCCAGTTTCCCTTCTTTACACTGATTGCAAATGAGTTGTTTTAGCACAGTTACCGCAGGATTTTGTCCTTAGGAAGATATAAGTTATTATTCAGAATGTAAATATATTCCCTGTCACCTTGAAAAAGAAACGAACCATGCAGAAAAACTAAACCTATTTAGGTCCAGCTGGAAGGGATAAGAAAAGATTCTATTTGTCACCCAGATCCTGTAAAACATATTCTTAAATAACCTACGTAAGCAAATTATTTATTTTCTCTTCAATAAGACTGATTTCCCATAACAGCATCGACTGTTGATAAAATACCTTGAAAATGCTTTTGAAATGCTTCCTCTGCATAAGTTTCTCTCACACTCGTTTTGTCTAGATCAGGAGTCTCCAATCCCCGGGTCCACGGACCAGTACCGGTCCACGGCCTGTTGGGAACTGGGCTGTGGAAGTGGTGGACGGGCGTGCAAAGCTTCATTTGTGCATGTGCGAGATTTAGGTTGCGTGCACCAAACCATCCCCCCCTCCCCCTGGTCCATGGAGCCCGAAAGGATGGGGACCGCTGGCCTAGAATAACCAAGAACCTGTATCAAAAAGTAGAAGCCACACTCCATATGTAGCCAAGAAAGGAATTGTACACATGGATTCAGACAATCAAGGTTTGTTTTTTAAAACTGTATTTGGAGGAACAATAGAATGCAAGGTTACAAAGATCAGAACTGGTTTACAGCATTAAATTTGCCCTCTGTCCAACGACAACTGTTACCTTCTATTAAACACACCACGTACTAATGAAGTCAGAAACAAAAGGCTCATGTTTTGTCTTGTAACATCCTCTCTTTATCAGTTCCCAGTTCTCTCCTGTCTCTTGAGGCTGGGTGTACACCAACTCTCAGGTTTTAGCCTCTGAGCCTGGAGCGGATTGTTTGCCCCGGCCTCATGTCAGTCATCCCAGGACCTGTGGCTGCAGCTGCTTCTGTGGTTGTGCCCAGCATCTCCATAGAAGTGTCTGACACTGAATTACACTTTTGTGTCTAATTCTGACACTAATAAAGTCAATTACAAGTTCTTCTATCAGTGTCAGTAAATAAATGGCTGGTAAATAAATGGCTGCTTCCATCCGCTTTGGCACCCTTAATTAAAGACCACTTCCTGGATATAATGCCATTATTCTCTTTAAGTATGGCCACATTTTGTCATGTAATATACAAAATGCCCAGCAATTGGACTGATCTGCTCGCCCATCCATCCATCCACCCAATCAATCAATCAATCAATCAATCAATCAATCAATCAATCAATCAATCATCATTAGTTTTATGTATGCAATGAATTTATGATCATCGACCATAACAAAGAATCCATCCATCCATTTCATATTCTTTCAATGAATTCTTAGCCTAATGAAATCATTCTTTATCTACTGCTGTCTGATGCATCTGACAGGCAGTTCTGCGCCCGGGAGAGCTGGGTGGCAGTGGTGTATTAACCATTAAGCAGACTAAGCATGTGCTTAGGGCACCAGGCCCAAAGGGGCACCACAAAGTTGAGAAACAACCCCCCCCATGAAGATTGGTTCTTCATTGAAAGGAGGGGGCCACCAAGATTTGTCAGTGCTTAGGGCACCAGTGAGCCTTAATCCACCACTGCTGAGTGGGCAGCTGTTCTGAGGACAATATTCCAGCTGTTTGGCTGGTATTGATATGTTATAGCATCACAAGCTTATTTGACTGCATTAAGACCATAGAAACCTGTACAAGTCCACCTAGCTCCTGCCCCCTCACAACTCTAGTGCACAGCCATTTGGGTGGTCTCATCTAACAATAATCTATGTATGCAAAGATTTAATTAAAAAATACACAAGCAGATTAACAAATGTAACTTTTTAAAAAAGTGCCACAATTTTTACAGAATTATTTCTGGCTCCAGCTATGCTATCCGCTCCCCCCTCCCCCCCAGGCTCTCCAAGCAAGGAGAAGGGCCTGGTGCCTTGAGCCCCTCTGCTTTCTACACATTCAATGCGGAAACCGTCAACTTCTGCTAAGAATGAAAGGCGTCTCACACAGAAGGACGCGCACTTGACTCTGCCCTGACCTCTGAATGTCCTTCTCTGGCCAAGGGCTCCTTTCCAGCAAGAGAGACAAAGCCCAGGTCCTCCTCTGGCCGCAGCCTGACCCTCCTCCCTCCCTCCCCCGGTGGTTGCAGCATCCTCACAGCCGCAGGTAAGGGAAACAGAAGACCCCCATCGCCTTCAGCCTTCCCGTCCTCAGCCGCAGCTCAGGTTGAGGCTGTGCTGTAAAACCACTCTGAGGCAAAAGAGTTCTCCTCCACTCTCCGAGGAGCTGTGAGCATCGAAAACCTTTAGTGCGATCAAAGGGGAACAGAATCCGGGCCAGGCTCCCCCCAGTGCAAATAATGCAACCAACGGGCTATTCCCCACAACAGAGACCCTCCCTCTCCCCTCTGCTCAGCAGGCCAGGAAATCCATTCGTACCATCAGATTTCCAAGGCTTTTCTGCCTTGGCTAACCCCACAGGCCCTCCATCCCCGCAGCGGCAGGGCAGAAAATGCTGGCCAGGGTGCAGAGGAGGCTCCGTGTGCTCCAGAGCAAGAAGGTGACATGTCCAACTGAGTCAGAAATCTGTTTTTCCCACTTTAAATAACATTCTTTGGTACTAACACTACAAAGACATTCTTTCGGTCAAAATTGCAACAAGTGAACACAGAAGCAGCTTAAGCTTTTACAAAGTGCTTCAGACAAAAGAGAACTCAGAGTTCCAGTAAAATTAAGGGACAAGATTGGAAAAAACGTTTTCCCAAAGAAAAGGGGAAAGCATAGATTTAGGCATCTTTAACTATAGAAAATCTAAGATTCTTAAACACATAATCCCACATCAAAAATAAAATACAAGAAACCCCAAATCTGTGATGCACAGCCATTGTCATCAGAATTGTGATGTTGTCAAATGCACAAGTCCCTTCTTTGTGCCATGGGAATGCCCCTTTCCTTCAATTCTCAGCCTTCTTCCTTCTTCCCAGCTGCCAAAGGAACAAGACCAAGTGTGTCCCGGGGGGGAGACCCCATCTGGGGCGAAGGAGCAGGAGGCGGCAGCAGCAGCAGAGAGACCGTCATTCATCCACCCCCCCACCCCCACATTTGTCAGTCCTTTTACAACCCTGTGCGTTTTCAGAGTGATTGGGGTCTGGCAAATAACTTCTCATATCACAAAAGGCAATTTTCATATGGCAGAATAGAATGTACTCACGCCTAAGTACACTTTTTAAAATGCCTAATAATTTTGATGCATAAAATGCACAGTACTAAAAATATGGACTGATGACTATGATTTTGTAAATGCTTTTCATAATTCATAAGCTTCCCCCACCGCCAATTCCCTTATACTGCTGCAGCAGTAGCCCACCGTAAATAAACTGAAGAAAGTAAATATTTAACTCCCGGCCACCACTAATCCATTCTCCAATATTTACATGACATTCATTAAAAAGGATTTGAAAGGATCTTCCAGAAATGGTCAGAAGATGAAGCTTCTCCTGGACCTGATGCACATCAGAAGATTATCTTGATGCTGAAGAGGCGGAGGAGAAATCAAGCTGCTGGATGACAGGTTACTGCAACCGTAAATGAGTCATCCTGGAGTACTTGAAGATCTAGCAGGTTCACTGTGGTATCAAAAACACGAAGCAGCCATGCTAGATTGCAGAGGCCTGCCAGCGGTGGCACTTTGGTTGCGCGCGGATCTTGAAGATATCAGAGGAGGAACTCTGCCCTTTTGCAACAGCTTAGCATGAAGGATGCATGTTGCCCTTGAATTTCAAGATTTTCAGAAGATTTGAGTATGGGAGGAAAATACCCTGAAACCAAGTACAGCATGCATGCACACTGGAATGCCACGGACACAGTTCCCCACCGCCAGCTCTGTGGAAGGCACATCACAAGTACGATGCAGTGGAGGGAAGTTGAATCAACACACTGATCTGAGCCATTTGGGCTCGTCAACTACAGAAGGGCTTTCAGCGTTTCTGCCCAACTTTTGATGGCCTTATCTTCACTCATTTATAGGGGCGTCTGAGGCAATATTTCTAAAATGAATAATGAAATTATATTGAGTCTACAGGGAAGGATGGTTAAGAGTGCAATTCATCTAGTTTGATGTATGTGGGAGGAGGAGGTTTTCAAACCAAGCACCCAAAATGTAGATTCTTGTCTTAAAAAAGAACTTCATTGTTTTTTTTCAAAAAAATCTCTTGAGACAGCATGAAGAAGGTTCAGGAAAGCCCAAATATCCGCAGCATTGTCACTGTTGCTCTAAGAACGAGAGGAGAGGGAACCTCAGTACAGAAAACAGGAACATATTTCAATGGTTCCATCTAATTATTGTTGTTAACGATCCGAAAATTAAAAAGCAGCTAAAATAGATTTATTTTAGGAATGCAAGGCACAGCATCACTCAAAAGCAAAAGCTAATTCAATGGATTGCTATTTTATTGTTCTTGTTTCTGCAGAGATGAAACGGAATGCTGGTCGTTTTAACTGCGTTGCTAGAAATGTAACCTTGTTTTTCCTTTGGCTGAAGCTTGGACTGTGCAGGATCCATCAAAGACACAACAGCAGCCAGGTAATTAATGATCTTAAGCATCAGGTCAAAGTGACCCAAGGTGGGCAAGTTTTAAACTCCGAGCAAGACATCTTGAAATCACAGCAGATGAAAAATCAAGCCGGGCCTCAGGAGGTTCTCCAAATGTTTGAGCCGAATTTCATCTTTGTTATTCTCAGTAGATGTCACCTTGTGCTAAAAAGTGGTACCTAACAGGAAAACCAATCAAGATAACGTTCTCATTGCAACCATGGGCTTTTCATACACTCACTGATGATATCCAAGGGCATGTCTTGAATTTTCTTTTCCCAGGTGTATTTTTTTCCTGAAAAGCAAAATAAAACAAAAAAACCCTAATTCACCCATATGGCTTCTCTGAATCTTTGGCTACCAGCTCATGGGATTTCCTGGTAAGTGATACCACGGTGCAGCTAGGTTAGAAAAAAGGGACTTTGTTTCCCATAAAAAAGAGGTATAATTTTGGGAGGATGGTTTCCTTATCTCCTTTGATAAGGCAGTTTCTCCTATTGTTCAACAGAAATTTCAGAAAGGAAAAGGGGCTCCTTCGTCATTTTCTTGCAGTTTAACACATCATGAACCCAAGTGAAGTTTGGAAGAAATTCTCCTGGGCTGGGCTAGGACGATGCTGACGGATGTTCCCAGGAAGGATCACCGAGTTGTATGATTTCTGAGACTGTTCCCTGCCATACATCAAAAAGCAAGTGACCCAAGGAAGTGAAATGAATGGCATGCAACGAGAGGCAGAGCTCAGATGAGGCTAACAGAGAGCGGGAGAGCGCAGGAAGTTGCGGGAAGGGGGAAAGAATACAACTGAGAATTAAAGGGAGGGAGGGAGGGAGGGTGAGTGAGTGTTCATGAAAAGGTAAAAAAACTCACAACTGGAATGTGTTCACATTCACTGGGCAAATGTTTTTACTTCTGGCTCATGGTCCACAGAAGAAGAAAGATGAAGTAGTACTAGCTACAAAAAAGCCCCATCATCTCTGGGTGTTGGGAAAACTTCCAGCCCTTCTTATTCCTCGTAAGAACCACTGCATGTGTTAGGGAGCTGCGGCTGCGAGGGTCTCCAGAGTGGTCTTCTGCCACAGCCACTGCCACAGGCGACTCCCGGCTCCTCGGCTCTGTCCCAGAGAGAAAACCAAGCTGAAGGTCTGAGTGCTGGGAACCCAATGGCTGTCGGTGGTCTCCTGCTCAAGCAGGGGGTTGGACTAGAAGACCTCCACGCTCCCTTCCAACCCTGTTATTCTGTGTGCATAGTTGTCTTGAGCCTGACTGTATGTGGAAATAAAGCCCCGTCTGAAACCAAAGTCTAGCAGGCGCACAGATCGTGTGTATCAACTACGTTCCCTTTGTCTGCTCTGGAGTTTACATCGCTCGTTATTTCCAGGGACCCTTCAGACCTTTTCTCAGAGAGATGAAAAAGAGGCTTCACGAACTGCTAAAACAAACCCAAAATACCCCCCCCCCCCCAAATCCAGCTTGAAAGCCTTCCCTTCTCCCCAGCATTTAATGACCTGCTTCCATCGGTTAGAAAACAGATGGCAGCAGGAAGCGGCTATGGACACTTCCCTTGGTGCAGAGGGCCACCAAAGCCACGGTGGGGAATGCACAAGCACAAGAATGTAAACGGTGCCGCCAGGCACCACGCCACAAAACCGAAAGAGGAAGTTCACGCACACAGTGAGCCACTGAAGCAGGCAAGTCTCCAGGCAGATCTCTCAAGGTGAAGGCAGTTCAAGGAAAAGCAGAAAACAGAAACCTGAAAGGGGGCCCAGCAAAGAGTTCTTTGTGGTTACTGTGCACCTTTGAGGACACACAGCGTGCCAAGGCACTGCAGTGCAGGAGTCCAGGGACCCGAGGAAAGGAGGCCGTCCGCTGCTCGCCATCACTGGGTGTGGAAGTAGATGGGTTTCACTTTCCCAGAAAGGATCTTGGGGACCTGCACCGAGATGATCTCAGCCATCATTTCAGGGTAGTCGACGCTCACCATGTGTGACTTCACCAAGAGGTCAAATGTAAACTGATGCAGTTCTCTGGCAATCTAGAGGAGGAAAAGGGAGGTTTGTCACAGGGAGGAACTCTTGTCTTGCTCAGCAAGTCCTTCCAGAGGACCTTCTGCCCTGAGGGTCACCATCTGCACTCTGGAGGACGGGGGAGCGGTTCCAAAAGAGAGAAGTTTGGGGTTGCTTCAAAGGGAAGGGGGAAGGATACTCGGGAGTCCCGCATATCCCATTGTCCTAGCTGGACTTGTGTTGTAAGGGCATTTTATTCTCCCGCAACCAGAAAATGCACAATGTTCTGCAAGGTGTGACTTTGTGTTTTGTTTTGCTGGAGCTTCTAGAGCTATCCCTGGCAAGTGGTGACCCCCCCTCCTTCTTCTCCTCAGCTGAGCCCAACATCAAGGCAAGAGCTCGTCTTCAGATAGAAGGGCTCCGTGGCCAAGGGCTGCCCCAGAATGCAGCCCAACATGATGATGTCCATGGAAGAGGGGGTGCTGCCGGACGTCCCATCTGGTCCCTCTCAAAGCTGAAGGGCCTCTTACTTGCTCCTGCTTAACTCTGCCTTCCTCCCACTCCCCGTCTCAAATTCAGATGGAATTTTCTCTTCTTCCCTAAACCCCGCATAAAACGCCTCCCTCCTTACTTCCCCACCATCCCATCCACACACCACTCTCTGAAATATTAACGTGGAAGAATTCCAGACGTTTTACGCTGGCTTTGAGGCTGAATGCTCCTGCAGCCTTTTGTAAGCTATGGAAAAGTGACCAGACCATCTGATTGGTGGAGAGCTCCTTTAAGGAGGTGTTGATGGGTGTGGCACACATGGACAGCTCAGATTGGAATCCAGATCCAGTAAGGCACAGATCCCTAACTGGAATCATTTTTGGCTTTTCAAACAACAGTTCTCTGCTTTAAGGCTCAGCCGCTTCCCTCACTCCTTGTTTTTTTTTAATCAGACAACTCTTGCCATACCATTCATTTGTCATTTCTTGTTCTCTTTCCATCTGCTGCATGGAGGCACCAACTGTCCTCTGTGGGGCCTGCAGCGGGAAATGCTCCAGGTACCCCCTCCCAAACATAACGGTAGCTAGGGATCCAACAGCGTCCCCTGTTCCAATCCTACAGAAACTTAGTGGATGGAGCTTCCCCAAGAAGCCTCCCTGGCAGGGACCATCTGAAGAGGACCGAGGGAACTTGGCTCTGAGCCAAAGAAACAACACTGAGCAAGAATTAAGGAGAGGGAGAAACTCCCCCCCCCCCCCAAGCTGCACATGGCTGTTGAGTGGTGGGCCAGAAGCCCCGGTCCAGAAAGACAGAACAGTAATTAAACTTCCTTTTAAATTTGATTTAGTTAATACTAATACAGCAACAACTTTGTCTACAATGTTTAAAGATGCATAGAAATTTATATGTATGCTTTTGGAGCTCTCGGGGTGGGGGGAAGGGGCTGAGCCCAAGGATTTTGAGGCTGCTTGCAGCTCTGGGGCTTGAGGTTGTGTACCACTGTGCAGGGTCCACAAATCTGGAGGGCCCCCTAACTGGGGAGCTCCTATAAAAGAAAGATGAATTATATTTACAATATAATTGTTCACCTCTCTGTGGCAAACGCCTTTATGCAAGTCCCCTTGCTCTTTTTCAAAAGTGATCCTGCGAGATTCTGTGACTTCTTGGGCTTTGAGTTTCCTCTTTTTGAAGCCCTTTTTGGTCTGAGCAGACCTTGCCCTGCACCCCAAGGTCCTTGGCCAACTCTCCCACTTTCACACTTACCGGCTGCACAGAGTCCAGGAGCTTGGTGAGCTGATAGAAGCGACGCGAACAAGACGTGGGGTTCTTCCTTTTGCAAGCAATGATCCGGTCAAGCTCCTTGATGTAGTTCATCCGGAGCTCATCAAAGAATTTCTGATTCTTCAGGCCATCCACTGGAACTGATGCAGAATTTATTTATTTATTTATTAATTAATTTAATTTGTATACCGCCCTTCTCCCAGAAGGGACTCAGGGTGGTGAACAGCCAAAATTAAAAAACATACAAATGCAAAAGTTAAGATAATTAAAAAGAATTAAATCATTAAATCAAAAGACGCCGGAAAAGACGCCTGGAGAGTAGTTGGAGGACCAGCCGCTCCGAATCTGACCGAACACTGGTGAGGTCTCATATTAAGACCTACCTAGTGGCGATAAAGCGGCGAAATCTAGCTATTTTGCCGCTCTTATCGCGTCATCAGATAATAGCCCAGCCGCCCTGTTTAGGGTGACCCGCTCCCTCCTCCATCTGGAAGCGCGGGATGATCCCTTGCAGGGTCGAGCTGAGGACTTTGTGCAGTATCTGCATGACAAGATCGCTCAGATTCGGGAAAGCCTGGCCTCTGACTGGGTAAGTCCAGACGGGATGACTGAGGCAGGTCTTGAGAATGTTATCCGGGAGGAGTTTGATCCTGTGGCTCCCGAGGACGTGGACAGGATCCTGGGACGGCTGAACGCGACCACATGTTTATTGGACCCGTGTCCCTCCTGGTTGGTGCTGGCTTCCCGGGAGGTTACACGAGGCCTGGCTCCAGGGGATTGTTAACGCCTCTCTGAGTGAGGGTGTCTTGCCGGCCAGTTTGAAAGAAACAGTGGTGAGGCCCCTCCTCAAGAAGCCCTCTCTGGATCCGGCTGTTTTTGGCTAACTATCGTCCAGTCTCCAACCTTCGCTTCGTTGCGAAGGTTGTTGAGAGTGTGGTGGCGCAACAGCTTCCCCGGTACCTGGATGAAGCTGTCTATCTAGACCCGCTCCAGTCCGGCTTCCGGCCTGGGCACAGCACGGAAACGGCATTGGTCGCATTGGTGGATGATCTCTGGAGGGCTCGGGATAGGGGTTCTCCTCTATCCTGGTCCTGTTAGACCTCTCAGCAGCTTTTGATACCATCGACCATGGTATCATGTTGCACCGGTTGGCGGGGTTGGGGGTGGGAGGCACCGTTCTGCGGTGGTTCTCCTCCTACCTCTCTGACCGGTCGCAATCTGTGTTGACAGGGGGGCAGCGGTTGACCCCGAGGCACCTGGCTTGTGGGGTGCCACAAGGGTCGGTCCTCTCGCCCCTTCTGTTCAACATTTATGTAAAGCCGCTGGGTGAGATCATCCGTGGCTTCGGGGTGGAGTTCCACCAGTACGCTGATGACACCCAGCTGTACATCTCCACCCCAGGCCACCCCAATGATGCCCTTGAAGTGATGTCCCAGTGCCTGGAGGCCGTGCGGGCCTGGATGGGGAGAAACAGGCTCCGACTCAACCCCTCCAAGACCGAGTGGCTGTGGCTTCCGGCGTCCCGATATAGCCAGCTGATGCCAACGCTGGCTATTGGGGGTGAATCACTCGCCCCCACGGAGAGGGCTGGTAACTTGGGCGTCCTCCTGGATGCACGGCTGTCTTTAGAAGATCATCTGACGGCCGTGGCCAGGGGGGCTTTTTATCAGGTTCGCCTGATACGCCAGTTGCGCCCCTTTCTAGATCGGGACTCCCTACGCACAGTCACCCAGGCACTCGTCACTTCCCGCCTGGACTACTGCAACGCTCTCTACATGGGGCTCCCCCTGGGGTGCACCCGGAGGCTCCAGCTGGTCCAGAACGCGGCCGCGCGGGGGATTATGGGAGCGACGAGGTGCTCCCATGTGACACCTCTCCTGCGCGAGCTGCACTGGCTCCCGGTGGTCTTCCGGGTGCGCTTCAAGGTGTTGGTGACCACCTTTAAAGCGCTCCATGGCTTAGGGCCGGGGTACTTACGAGACCGCCTTCTGCCACCAATAGCCTCCCACCGGCCAGTACGCTCACACAGAGCGGGCCTCCTCAGGGTGCCGTCCGCCAGACAATGTCGGCTGGCGACCCCCAGGGGAAGAGCCTTCTCTGTGGCGGCGCCCACCCTCTGGAACAACCTCCCCCCAGAGATACGTACAATAACAGACCTCCGGAGTTTTCGTCGGGCCCTGAAAACCCATTTATTTCAGCTAGCTGGGCTGGCTTGAGTTAAATTTTAAACTGATTTTAAATTGGAATTTTTTAATTACGGCCAGAATATTTAATTATTTTAAACAGTTTTTAGATTTTGTATTTTGTATGTCTTGTTTTTACTTTGGCTGTTCACCGCCCTGAGTCCTATATTGGAGAAGGGCGGTATAGAAATTTAAACAAATAAATAAATAAATAACTGGCTACCCAATTTAAAACCCCAAATCCATAAAATTTAAAATCCCAATTAAAAACCATTTAGGCTAGGCCGGCTTGATGAAATAAAAACGTCTTCAGGGCTTTACGGAAGGTCCGGAGGTCCGGGATTAATCGTATTCCAGGAGGCAACTCATTCCACAGGGCGGGTGCCCCCACAGAAAAGGCTCGCCCCCTGGGGGCCGCCAGCCGACATTGCCTGACCGACGGCACCCCGAGGAGGCCCTCTCTGTGAGAGCGTATTGGCCGGTGGGAGGTTATCGGTAGCAGCAGGCGGTCTCGCAAATACCTTGGCCCTAAGCCATGGAGCGCTTTAAAGATGAGAACCAACACCTTAAAGCGCACCCGGAAGACCACCGGGAGCCAATGCAGCTCGCGCAGGAGAGGTGTTATGTGGGAGCGCCACGTCGCTCCCATAATAAGGAGAGGCAATAAATAAGGAGAGGCAATAAAAGCAGGCAAAGGGAAGAGCCTGAGGGGGGAGGCGAAGGAGTCTCCTCACTTACAAAGGCGCAACCAACAGCAGGGCAGCTGCCACAGAGAACAAAGACTGTTTCTTCTCCAAGCAGAGTTGGAAGGGATTTTGGGGGTTGCCTAGTCCAACCCCCCCTGTACTAGCAGGAGACCCCAGACCCTTTCGGACAAATGGCTGTCCAGGCTCTTCTTAAAAGCCTCCAGTGATGGAGCAGCCACAACCTCTGAAGCAGGGGTGAAGTGTAAAATTTGTTACTACTGGTTCTGTGGGCGTGGCTTGGTGGTGGTGGGGTAATGTGACTGGGTGGGCGTGGCCAACTTTTTTTTTTTTAACTTTTCAAAGCATTTTTTCTGCAAATGCAAAAAAATGCTTTGAAAGCCTCTGCCAATCAGGCAACACAGCTGGGATCGTCAGAGCCTTTTCAAAGCATTTTTTAAACCACCTCTTCCGCGGAAGAGGTTGCAGAAAAAAAGCTTTAAAAGCCTCTCTGACGATCCCAGCTGAGCCACGCGATCATCAGAGGCTTTTTTTTTTTACTTTTAAAAGCATTTTTTCCACGGAAGAAGTTGTAGAAAAAATGCTTTTAAAAGAAAAAAAAAGCCTCTGATGATCGCGTGGCTCAGCTGGGCATGGTGGAGGGGGGGAGGGCGCAGGGATTTTTGCTACCGGTTCTCCGAACCACCTGCTGCCATCGTTACCGGATCAAGCGATCCGGTCCGAACCGGGAGCATTTCACTCCTGCTCTGAAGGCAACATGTTCCAGTAGTTAATTAAGGGACCTTGGAGATCTCCTGTTCAAGCAGGAGACCCTCTACCATTTCAGACGGGTGGCTGTCCAGTCGTTCACTTGTTAATTGTTCTCACTGTTAGGAAGTTTCTCCTTAATTCCAGGTTGCCTCTCTCCTTAATCACCTTCCATCCATTGCTTCTTGTCTTGCCTTCTGGTGCTTTGGAGAATAAGTTGTTCCCCTCTTCTTTGTGGCAATCCCTTCAGATATTGGTAGGCTGCTCTCATGCCTCTCCTAATCCTCCTTTTCACTAGACTAGGCAAACCCAATTCCTGAAACCCTTCTTCCTATCTTTTAGCCTGATAAAGCTTATTTGGAGGCTGTAGTTTCTTAAAGAAGGCATACCCATTAGCACCGTGGATCTCATCTACCATGGATCATTTACAGAAACAAACAAAAAAGAGGTGGAGAGTCTGAAAAAGTGCAGAGAGCAACAAAGTTAATTAGGCTAAAACATATGAAGAACTGTTGCAGGAATTGGGAAATGGGAATGTCTAGTTTGATGAAAAGAAGGAAACAGGTGTGAACAACCTATTCTTCCAGATACCTGAGGGCAGGACCAGAAGTAATGGGTAGCAAATCATGAAAGAGAGATCCAACCTAGAACTAAGGAGAAATTTCCTGAGAACAATTAACCTGTGGAACGGTTAATTCCTACCCCCAGAAGTTGTGGGTGGGGGGTGAGATCCGGAAGCGGCGCGGCGGTACTGGATGGGAAAATGTCGGGCTATGATGAGCTCAGCAAAATCCAGACAGATGAACCATCACCGGGGGGTCTTCGGAGGGACAGCAAAGAAAGAGAGGCAGCTCAGTGTCTAAAGAGGGACAGGCAAGTCCCTTGGATAGCCTGAGAAACTCTCTTTGAGCTGGTGATGGGGGGCGGCGATCAGAGTGAATCGCCGTGAAGCTGGAGCCTCTGGAGCAAATGATGTACAGGTGGGAAGATTTGGACAGAGTGCTGATGCTGGGTGAGTGATCGGCTAACCCACAGACAATAAAAAGAAAATTCTAAATATTTTTAGCTACTAAACTATTACTAAAATTACCCCGGCGTGGAAATTGCGGCTAAATAGCAGCGGGGAGATGACGATGGAAAGAGAAAGTGAGAATGACAAGCGCGCCATAGAAGAACCCAAATAAAGAATTAAAAGTGATTGACAAATGGAAATGTAAATCTGGAACTTGGATTCAATTTGGATTGGATTATAAACTGATGGGTAATATATAAAGGTGAAAGAAGATGTGAAAACTGGATTTTTTCTCTTTTATGACTTGGTAAACAGGGATGTGAATTACAAATAATAGGAGCCTGAGTGGCATAGGAGGCTAATGCCTCCTAAGGCAGCATTTAACATCCAGCTGCCTGCAATTACTGCAGGTTCGAATCTCGCCAGGCTCAAGGTCGACTCAGCCTTCCATCCTTTCTAAGGTAGGTAAATTGAGGACCCAGTTTGTGGGAGCAATAAACTGACTTTGTATAAATATACAAAAATATGAAGGCTATTGCTTAACGCATTGTAAGCCGCTCTGAGTCTCCGGAGAAGGGCGGCATATAAATCAAATAAAAAAAAAAAAATTAGATGAGTGGAACTGTGGATTATAGAGAGACATCTGCAGGAGAAGGAAGAGCATGACATGGAATTGTTTTAATTTTAAAACCTTGAACTTTTTAAAAAAGATAACTGGCGAGAACTAAGGAGGATACGTTTTGCCTACAAGAGGGCAGACTTTGATGATTATAAAAGAAGGACCTTAATGTGATTTAAAACTGGAATAATTCAACCTGGAAAGAATAAAATGGAACAGGAACTTAATGAACTGATAAAGACGATGTGTTTGGAAATAAAATACATGATTATAAATTTGCATGGAAAATTGAAATCTGAGGAGGCAAAGACAGAGCTAGAATGCACTGAAGATGAAAAGGAAATGACTAACGAGAAACAAGAAAGAGAGATGGATAATAAAGAAGACAAAGACAAAGAGACTGACTATGGAAAATTAAACAATTGTAATATTAAATATGGACAAAAAGAAAAGAAACAAAGAAGGAAAAGAGAGTGAAACAGGGAAAATACAAAAAACTTAAATGATTACACTGAGACTAACAGTGGAAAGATAAGAAAGAGGGAAAAGAGATGGAAAATAATAAGAAGTAAAGAACAAAATAAAAGATTTTATGATTTTAAAATACAAAATAAGCATATTGGGATTAACAATGAAAAGACACAAAAAAGGAAAGCGAAAGGAGAAACAATGGGAAATATAGGGCAGAATAAGAGAGTGCAGAACATTAAAATACAAAAGAAAGGAAGAAAAAGGGAAAACAAAAGGAAAAGAAGGAAAAGAGGCTAGAGAAGAAAAAATATTAAAAATATAAATGATTACACTGGGATTTACAGTAGAAATATAAGAAAGAGGGAAAAGGGATGGAAAATAATGGGAAATAAAGGGCAAAGATTTCACGATTTTAAGATACAAAATATTAATAATGAAAAGATATGAAAAAGGAAAAGAAAAGTAGAAACAAAGGAAAAATTGTAATAAATGTCACATGCTCAATAATATTGGAGGTTTACAGAATGATAAGTTTTAACAATATGAATAAACCAGTTGAGGGAAATGTAATATTTGGAATATTCCAAACTATATCTTTGAAACATAATTAAAGAGAGAAGACAAATTAAGAATATTTTAAGAACTAATTGGATTGGGTAAAATGAGAAAGGATTAAGATGCACTTTATAAATATATATTTGAGTAAGTGGAAATATATTGTTAAAATGTTTTGAGAAATATATTTAATGATTGAAATTGAATGTAAAACTGAATGAAATTGAAATGATAAAAATGATTTAAATGTTATACTTGCAAGAAGTAAAGCAGAAAAAATATATTGGTAAAAGTAAAAAAGATAAGAGATTAGAAAAGTGTTTGAGTAAAGATTTGAAGGAAAAAAGAGAATAAGATGAAATATATTGTTAGTAATTAAAAAGATAAGGGATCGGGGCTGCCTGAACTCCACAATGGAAAACATTAAATTGAAAATGAATACAGCAATAGAGAGAGATGAAGGAATTGGAGGGGAGCAGGAAGGAGGGAGAGGGATGGAAGAGTAAGGAGGAAGGAAGGGATGGGAAAGCAGAGTAGGAGAGAAGGTAAGACAGGGGGGAAGAGAGGAGGAGAAGGAAAAGGGAAAGGGAAGTAGAGAAGAGAAGAAGAAGGTGGGGAAAGAAAGTTGGAAGGAGAAGAGGGAGAGGCTAGGTTTGAGGAGAAAGATTGCTATGCAATAAAAAAAGAAGATGAAGTGGAAGAAAGGCAGCTCTGAACAAACAAATATAAATATATTAGTAAAAAGAATGAATTGTTAAAGAATAAAAGAGGACAAATATGTACAAATAGTAAAGTTAGAATTTAGGGATAAATGAAGAAGGTGTTTATATATGCAAGTATAGAAATATTGAGGTATATTCCAAAAAAAAAAGGAAAGGGGGGAAGACGATATTGACAAAAATTGTACTTGAGTAAAATGTATTTGAATTTGACTAATTGTATAAGATAAGAAATGACCAACACTCTGTTCAAAAAAATAGAGAAAGATGTGGGTGAAGGTGGGAGAGGAGAAAAGAAAAAACCAATAAAACTTGTTTATCTATCTAGAAGTTGTGGGCGTGCCTTCACTGGAGATTTCCAAGCAGAGACTGGACAGCCATTTGTCCAGCATGGTACAGGATCTCCTGCTGGAGCAGGCGGTTGATCTAATACAATCGGGGCCACCGAGGGAAGTTCAGAGAAATGCTGCTTCCCAAGGCATCCAAAGGCCAGACAAGGAACAATGGATGGAAACTGAACAAGGAGAGATTCAACCTTCCTGACCGTGAGAACAATCAACCCATGGAACAGAAGCTGCCTTCAGAAGCTTTCAAGAAGAGACTGGACGGCCATCTGTCAGAAACAGTGTAGGGTCTCCTGCTTGGGCAGGGGGTTGGACTAGATGACCTCCAAGGTCCCTTCCAGCTCTGTTAATCTGAATCTAATCTGAATAAAAGACCTCCAAGGTCCCTTGCAACCCTGCTATTTTATGTTTTGTTCTAAGTACAAAGACAGGTAGATGACAAATGCTACAGCTTACTAATACTGAAGAGGAGCAGAGCCTTCATGCAGAGAAATTCTTGAGGAGTAATCTGAAGCCATCCAAATTCTTGAGAGAGATGCCGCATCCTGACACATTGGCTGTACATTCTGGATTTGTGCATCCGGTACCTGGGAGAAGAAAAGAAGAAAGACATAGAGAGAATCAGCTGACAAAGCCTGCCTCTCTTCCAGAACCAAATTCCACACATTTCACTATTTGAGAAATTTCTCATTGTTACCATTTTAGTCTTGATGGCAGCTTAGTATTTCTTGCCATCCAATGCAAGTCCTCTGAAGGGTGCAAGTTGATCTTAGCCCCAAGCCCTTCCGTCACTCTGCAAAATCCCAGCAGCCCCTCCCTGGGATTTCTGTCATTTCATATGAGAAAGCTTATAGCAAGGAAACACTGACATGCCCCACTGGGAAATCGGTACCAAAGCAGCCCCCCCCCCCCAGGAGGAGTTTCCGTCTTCAAGCTGCAGTTAATTCCTGCTGGTCTTACTACACACTGAGCCATGTTACATCTCCACCATCAACTTTTGCTGAGTAAGGTTGAGCATCTGGGTTATAAATACGCGTCTGTCTCCAAGGAATGAAAAGATGGATGAGGAGATGTGGAATCTGCCAACTATAGAGACCCCTGGATGCCTGAAGAGCACTCAATCGATTTGCATGCCCACCTGGACATCTGAGATTCCACAGAAGTTTCCCTTCTGCTTCCTCTCAGATCAGAAATAGGTCTGAACTCATCTCAAAGAGACACCAAGTCACGATGGACAAAGGTCATGGAGAAAACTGTCATATGCTGCTTCTGCCTGTGATGAGTCAAGAAGGAACTTTCCTGATATGGAGATGGCATATCTTCTTCATGTATGTATGTAAGGTCAGGAGGTTATAGGAAGAAAACACTGACCAAGGAAGGAACAAACAGATCCAAGATTGCCTGATGCCAATTGTGCAAGCAGGGCACAATTTTTAGGGCTAGGGCTACCATCACTTTTAAAAAATATTTCATAAAGAACCAGAATTTTTGGCAAGAAAACTATGCCCATATTTATGCACAACACAGGAAACGAAAAACATCTCCAAAAATATAGAACCCAGAATGCTGAAATTTGTGTCTAATATCAAAAAACGGGGAAAGAAAGCTAGAATCCAACTGATGTTGCAGAAATAATGTGGTTTCTGCTAAGAAAAACCTGTTGGAAATCCATGGAATTATCCATGGATAATCCATGGAAAACGCTTGGGTCAGGACAGCTACATGTCAGGTGGTATATGGCTTTACAGAACTTTGATCCTCCCAGGTGGCATCTGAAGCATCAGCATTTTATGCCAGAGATCAACAAAAGATGGAATATTTCAAAGGATGCACAAACATGAGGAAAGGACCAGTATTTGCCCACTTGAGAAAATATAGCATACGCCTGGAAAATACATATTCAGTTTACACTTAAACATTTAAAGTTACCTAGAATTCATATTGTGCGGCCCCACATTTTGCCTTTTGACTCTTGTGCAAATGTAATCTCAGCCAATCTCAATGACATTGCACTCAAGGAATCAAAACCTTAAACATCTGCCTGAAAGAAGTCAAGCAGACACAGTTTGAGCTCAAAAAGTTTGACCTTGCACAAACTTCCTTTCTTCCTTTTCACTGAAAAGGCCTTGTGGCTCATTTGCCCTGCCGGGCCTGAAGAAAGGAGAGGGTTTCGACACTTTCCACTTTCTTCAGCTTTATACATTAATCAAGTCTAACATGAAACAGAGGAAACATACTCATTGAAGACCAAATCTGGAGCAAAATAAAGCATCCGGGAATTCACATTGGTGAAGGATCTCCATCCCATGGCAAAAATCATCAAGCCCATCCAGGAGTACTGAATGATGGCCATCTGGTCATCTACATGCAGGTTGCGGAACCCTGGGAAGAAAAGTCAGAAAGGTTGAGTCAGCTGGAGGCAAAGCTCTTCCTTCAGGTCAAGGAGCAGTTGGGTTGTTAGCCTGGGCTCCAGGCTGCTGGCCCCTCCAGGCCAACCCTTTAGAGGCAACAGAAGTCCTTCTCCAACCACGATTACAGCCTGGAGCATTTTCAATCTGGCAGCTAGAAGTGAGGGAAGGAAAAGTCACACACAAAACATTTTCTTACTGAAGGTTTGCCTGTTGTTATAACAGAACAAGCTATTTTTCTCTTTATACTGCAGGGAGCACAAAAAAGAAAAAAAAGGACTTATAATTAGGGATGAAATGAGAAAGAAAATAAAGGCTCACACCATAAACCATTTGGATTCCGAGTTGCATGCAGTCTGGACCGTCCGTATGACTCCATGTGAGGAGAGAGGCATTAAGTCAAAGATCTGCCAGGATGCCTTGATAAAACCCAGAATTTTCTCAAGCAGAATTAATTATCAGAAGTTCATATAATTTGATGCCACATAGTGTGGGTCACACTTCAGCCCCCCCAAACAGATTGTATTTTAAAATTACATTTTAATCTCACTGCTATTGCCCTCTTCATTCTAAAAGCATCTCTTAAGCCTTTACAATTATTAAAAATATACTGTGTTGCCTAAGGTATTTAATCCATAATTATATTTGCTCCACTTAAAACTTCTCATCCGTTAGATTTGCAGACTGAGAGGAAATCAAGCACTTTTGCTGCTAATTGCTAACATGAGCCTTCTTGGCATTTGGAAGGTGGCAAAAGTGCTGAAATGAATGACCACAGAGAAAGAGAAAATTTGAGGATTACCAGAACTCTCAACAAAGCTACAATTGGAAACTACTTACATCTTATTCTTACTTTCTACATCTTTCCAAGGTGATTTACAATATACACTGTGTGCACAATTATTAGGCAAGTGAGTATTTTGACTAGATCATCATTTTTATGCATCTTTTCCACTTCAAGCATAAATTTATATTCACATATACTGGATATAAGCATATCAGGTGATGTGTATTTGTGTAATGAGGGAGGGTGTGGCTTAAGAAAATCAACACCCTATATCAAGGAGTGCGTAATTATTAGGCAGCTTCCTTTTCTCAGGCAAAATGGGCCAGAACCATCAAACGCTTTGTTGCAAATAGTCAACAGGGCTGCAAGAAAAGTGTTGAGAAAAAGAGATGCACATTAACTGCCAAAGATTTGAGAAGAATCAAATGTGAAGCTTCCAGGAAGCCATTATCCTCCTGTGCTGTCATATTCCGGGACTGCCACCTACCTGGGGTGCCCAGAAGTACAAGGAGTTCAGTGCTCAGCGACATGGCCAAGATCAGGGAGGCTGAAACCTGACTACCACTGAACAAGACACAGAGCAACAGCAAGACTGGCCAAGAAGTATCTGAAGGCAGATTTTTTTCAAAGGTTTTATGAACTGATGAGATAAGAGTGACTCTTGATGGATCGCTTTGAAGGCTTTGATTTCTCTGCCCTGAGTAGACCTTCGCAGTTCTTCCAATTCTGCTTCTATGAATATTTTATTTCATATTATAAACAGACATTGATCTTCCAGCTCCTGTTCTGTTCTTTCTGATTCTGGATGTTGTTCTTTCCAGAACTGGTGCATTCATTTCAAATATCCTCTTTTTGTTGGACTTCATCTGTAATAACAGATCATTATTTCTTCGTTTTCAGTCACTGTATATTTGCAATGTGTAACACCTTTTCCTCTGCAGCTCCTGGCCCTGATTGCTCAGCCAACAGTCCTGAGGCCTGTAGCCCATTTTTCACCAGATATCCAGGAACTCCAACATCTAGCGTGGACCTTGTTAACCCGGGTGACATCTGAGCCGGTATGGCTTTCTGAAATTTAGGTCTCATAATTTTTATGGGAGAGACACTCTGTCTGACTCCTCTGATGACACCTGCCAGTATGGTTGAACCTCTGGCACAGCTCTCATCTTCCTCAGAGCGCACAAGTCGCACAACCACGTCAAAGCAGTGCCTCATTGGGAGATTGTTGTTGTTATTACATGGGTAACCCAAAATTCTTTGGATCATTCTAGGGTCAAAATATAGATTTCCTTGGTGACAGATTCCCCCCCTAGCACCTCATAGCCTGTTGTCTTGTGCTTTGTTGGTCCATTATTTTCTAAAACAGGAAAGGTACTTCTCCCTATGAACCAACAGCCATAAATCCCAATGCAGAAAATTATGTGATTTGGACGTTCTGAATTTTTTTTTTTAATTTGATTTATATGCCGCCCTTCTCCAGAGACTCAGGGCGGCTTACAATGTGCTCAGCAATAGCCTTCATCCTTTTGTATATTTATACAAAGTCAGCTTATTGCCCCCACAAACTGGGTCCTCAATTTACCTACCTTAGAAAGGATGGAAGGCTGAGTCAACCTTGAGCCTGGTGAGATTCGAACTTACAGTAATTGCAGACAGCTGGTGTTAATCACAATGCTATCAGTCTGCTGAGCCACCAGGCCCTTCCAATTTTGTGATAGAGTTTGTGATAGAGATCAAGAGTTTAAAGTCCTCGGGGATCAATTCAGAAAATACTTTTCTAGAATCTTTTCTTGGCACTATTTCTTCAGCATCAATTTTTATTCTTGGAAAACATGGCAATAGAATAGAATAAAATAAATAGAATAGAATAGAATAGAATAGAATAGAATAGAATAGAATAGAATTTTTTTATTGGCCAAGTGTGATTGGACACACAAAGAATTTGTCTTGGTGCATATGCTTCATTAAAACAATATTGTTTTAGTACAGGCTTTTGACAGCATAGAATAGCTAACATTAATTTATAGAATTAACATAGAATTTAGAGTGTTCAGACCATTCATATCTGTAATCTGTACACAGATGAGAGCTTGCAATGTTCCTTAACATCATCTAAGTAAGTTCCAAGCAGAGGCAAGAATTGCAGGATTTTAAGGTTTCTCTCTTAGAGATTGCATTACAACTTATTTGGAGACGGAATTCATGGTATCTGTGGTAAGTACAAGCCAACAAGTTTAACATCTTAAAAAACAAGTAGCATTACAGTTTCATCTCTGAACTTACCAATAAAAAATAACAAGTATGAAAGTTAAGCAGAGTTAAGAGTTTGTGGTCATTTTCATCTCCAACTAAAGCTGAAATTACAATTTTGGTTATCACTGAATTTGCAGGAAACCTGCCTATAGCTATCACCTAAATGGCATCTTGAGATAGCTATCACATTAATGCTGCATCGGTGGAAAGCACACTTAATAAGTGCTTGGCATCAAGCACATTTTTACCTGCTTTTCCACTGGTATCTCATTTCATAATTAAATGTTTCACTTGAACTCTACTAATATTAATTAAAAAATTTTTGCTAGTGTTTTTAGCAATAGCAATAGCAGCACCTAGATTGCTTCATAGTGTTTTACAGCCCTCTCTAAATAGTTTACAAGGTCAGCATCTTCTTGCACCCAACAATCTGGGTCCTCATTTTACCGACCTCGCAAGGACGGAAGGCTGAGTCAACCTTGAGCCGGTGAAAATCAAACTGCTGGCAGTTGACAGAGTCAGACAGCAATACTGCATTCTAAACATTGTGCCACCATGGCTCTTTTTCTAAATAGCTGTTAAACAATGTTCATTAACCGGTCGCAGTCTGTTTTGACAGGGGGACAGAGGTCAACCCCGAGGCCCCTCATATGTGGGGTGCCGCAAGGGTAGGATCATCCGTGGTTTCGGGGTGGAGTACCATCAGTACGCTGACGACACCCAGCTGTACATCTCCACCCCGGATCACCCCAACGATGCCCTTGAAGTGATGTCCCGGTGCCTGGAGGCCGTACGGATCTGGATGGGGAGGAACAGGCTCAGGCTCAACCCATCCAAGACCGAGTGGCTGTGGTTTCCGACGTCCCGATATAGTCAGTTGATGCCATCACTGACTATTGGGGGCGAATCATTGGCCCCCACGGAGAGGGCTCGCAACTTGGGCGTCCTCCTGGATTCACGGCTGTCTTTAGAAGAGCACTTGACGGCCGTGACCGGGAGGATTTTTCATCAGGTTCGCCTGATTCGCCAGTTGCAGCCCTTTCTGGATCGGGACTCGTTACGCACGGTCACTCATGCCCTTGTCACCTCCCGCCTGGACTATTGTAATGCTCTCTACATGGGGCTCCCCTTGAGGAGCACCCGGAGGCTCCAACTGGCGCAGAGTGCGGCCGCGTGGGTGGTAATGGGAGCGACATGGCGCTCCCATGTGACACCTCTCCTGCGCGAGCTGCACTGGCTCCCGGTGGTCTTCCGGGTGCGCTTCAAGGTTTTGGTTACCACCTTCAAAGCGCTCCATGGCTTAGGACCTGGTTATCTACGGGACCGCCTACTACCACCAATAGCCTCCCACCAGCCAGTACGCTCTCATAGAGGGCCTCCTCCGGGTGCCGTCAGCCAAACAATGTCGGCTGGCGACCCCTAGGGGGAGAGCCTTCTCTGTGGGGGCACCTACCATCTGGAATGAGCTCCCCCCAGAGATACGGAGGATCCCGGATCTGCGCACCTTCCGCCGCGCTGTGAAGACCTTTTTATTCCATCAGGCGGGCTTGGCCTAATCTCTTCCCTTTTTAAATATGTAAATTTTAATCTGTTTTTAAATTATTGGGGTGTTTTAATTTGTCTGGGCCAAAATGATTTAATTTGATTTTATCTGGTTTTTTAAACTTTTTGTATCTATGTTATTTTATTGTTTGGCTGTTCACCGCCCTGAGTCCTTCGGGAGTAGGGCGGTATACAAATCAAATAAAACATAAACAAACATAAAACAAACATTAACAATTATTTTGTTGGTGGTAAGCACTGAACTATCACATTTGTAATTAATATTTTCAGCTCATTATTAAAACATTAAAGTTCATACACGTTCTTTCTAGCAATATTCTGAACAGTTCTATATATTTTTTTAAAACGCCCTAAAAACTCTTCTGTAAATT